AATTTTTATTTACTATAAGCTGGACTAAATTCAAAGTGTTGAAATCTTTATATGGAGCTGTTCCACTTGAAATTTCCCAAAGTAACATTGCTAGCCCATAAATATCTGACTTTTTTGTTCTACTGAAACCTCCAGGATTTTGTAAATGTTCTGGATCTGAATACTTTGCTGATCCAAAAGCTCTTATTAACAAATTTGTAGATTCTGTTAACCTTCTTGAAATACCAAAATCTGATAACTTAATGTTTCCATTACTCACTAGAACATTATCTGATTTCTTGATAATTAATTTAATTGGTTGATTGATTAACAATCATGATAATTATATGCTAATTAAATATTTTCAATAAAGACATGTAATATATTACCAAATCTCTATGTACAATATTATTATGATGTAAAAAACTAATTGCACCTGCTAATTGTTTAGCAAGTTCTATTTTTTGTTTCCAGTCAAATTTTGGATTTTCTTTATTTTCTCTTAGATACTCTTTTAAAGTTCCATTATTAGCAAATTCTAAAACAAGGGTGTAAGTTGAAGCTCCAGGCCCTAAGAATAAAATATGGCAATTTATATAATAAGAAATTTATCCAAAATTTAAATCTTATTATTATTATATAAAAATTCAAATAATACATTTTGTTAGCCCATAAAAATTTATAATATTTTCATGACTTTGGACTTTATTATGTAATTTTAACTGAAAAAAAAATAAGAGAAAAATAGATAAATAAAAAAAATAGAAAATATATAAATAAATAAAATATTAGAAACAAATTTACCTCATTTACAAATTCTTTATTAGTAAATTTCTTTGAAAAATTGAAAGATTTTAAAGCAACATTATTTTGTACTTTTTTTAAGAAAGCTTGATGAACCAAGCCAATTGCACCTGTGCCAATAATTTTTATTTCATTAAAATCACCAAAATCATATTCTATAATAAACCCATATTTAACCACCTCTTCAAGCCATTCTTCTGGTGTCAATTCTGAATTCATTTTTTATTTTTCATTTAAAGGACACGAAATAAAAAAATTTGTTACACGAGAACCTAAATGAAAATAAGGCTATTACTATTTGTGACAAAATTTTCAATCCTGCAATTGTAATTGTCAAACGGATCACGGATTAGGAGATTTTAAGATGTATAAAACAAATTGCAAAATACCAAAAAAAGAATTTTTACCCTTTTTGAATACCAGTTTGAAATCTTGTTTTACACAGTAGTTGATCAAAAAAATACCTGTTTTTACTTCATTGATCATATGGGTTGTTAGATAATTGTGTGTTGTCCTAACTCAATTGTGGGTAAAGTTCCAAATAAGCTGAGATTGAGCCAAGAAACAATAGGCTTGAGTATTCAGGTCAAGCCAAACATTCAACTTAGCTTGAGTTTGATGTTATATAAATTTTTTCTTTAGGTAATGAATGATTAATTCTACTATTTTATAATACTTTTATTTTATTTACACACATTACTTAAAAAACAAATTTAAGAGCCTATTTTCTTGAACTTTTGAAAATTCAAGTTTTAACTTGAGTCTGCTTAACTTAGAAAGCGAATAAAACAAATGACTCAAATGATTCAAATAAATGAATAAAGCGAATGATTTGAATTATTTGAATAGACAAATAAAATGAATGGCTTGGGTGAT